CGCATTGAGGCTGCCACTGGTTGTTGGCCTGAACTGGGATTAGGAGCGCCAGCTCCGTCAAGATTATAACTGAGAATCTGGACTTGCCCTGTCTTAACCCAGTTTGTGAACAAACCCCAGGGTCAAAGAGGAGGGGCCTGATGTAATCTCTGTGGCTCTGAAAACAGAAGCTCTGCCAGGGAAAGGTATCGAGGTGGAAGGTGGTGGTTCTTGTCTTTTCCTGTGAGAGCAGCAGGAACTGTGCAGGGGCTGGTACATCATCGCCCTCCCTGCTGCCACCTCAGCCCTTTCCACTTGCGTCCCTCTTCCTTCCTGCGGGACTCACGGTGTCAGCCACTTTCCAACTGGCTTCAGAGGCTAAATGGGAATCTGGCTGGAGACTTATGTATTTGGCAAATCAGAGGAAAAGCCTGAGGTCTTTTTAAAGGCCAGCAGCACTGCCTACAGGCCGAGAGCACTCCAAGATGGCCGGAGCTGGGGTGGGGTGGGAGAAGGTCCGGCAGGTAGCTAGGCTGGGCTTCTCGGGGTAAGGAATGGCTTTGTGTCAGGATAACTGTCAGGCCATAGCAGTGGGACTGATTTACAGCAGGGCTGTGCACAAGTGGCCTTAAAGACAAGCAGGTCTTGGGTATGAAAGCAGGTAGAAGCCTGGCCTGCTGGTATGCCTGTCCCAGTACTCTGGGAGTCTGAGGCAGGAGGGTAGCAAGTGCAAGCTCAGCCTGCTCAACTTAGTGACTTAGTAGGACCCTATCTCAAAAAAAATAAAAACAAAAACAAAACCACTGGGTGCTCTGGGTTTCATGCCTAATTAAGAAAGAAAGAAAGAAAGAAAGAAAGAAAGAAAGAAAGACAAATCTGAGAGAAGGTAACACTGAATTGGGGAGTAGACACTGAGCTCCACTCACAGGGACAGCCTCTGTTCACACAGTTTTGTGCAAGAGTAAACTCACTGACTCTTTCAGCATTTTTATTTGTTTGCTTTTTGAGACAAGGTCTTACCATGTAAGTCCAGGCCAGCCTTGAACTTGCTGTGAAGCTCAGGTTGGCCTTGAAGTCATAATCCTCCTCCCTCAGCCTCGGAGTGGAGAATTACAGGTGTGTGTCACCATGCCTGAGCCTCTTCAGATTTTATGGGAGACACGAGGAGCCCAGGTTTGATAGAAAGCCTTCCCCATGTAGCATTCTGGTGCAGTAAACAGAATACCTGCTGTTGGTGGGCTTGCATCCAGGCTGCCAGGAGCTGCAGGTCAGAGCCCTTCTTCCTGTACTTCTGCATTACCAGTTCTTCATGTTCAGACCCTGTTAGAGGTCAGCCATCTCATTTCTATCCAGTGCTGGATTCCCGTGTGGACAGATCTTAGTCCAGGGACCCTCATTAGCTTTTTCCTGTGGCAGCTGTAACAAGTTCTTGCGCATTTTGTGGATGAAACAAAGTCGTAAGTCGGAGAGATCTCACATGGGGCACTGTCCTTGGGGCTGTGTTTCTCTACTGAAGTTTCAGAAGAGAACCCGTGTTCTCGCCCTTTGTGCCTCCTAGAAGCCACCCACATCCCTGTGGGTCTGGCCCCATCCTCAGTAGTCAGCAGTGCATCTAGCCGCTCTCCAGCTAAGTCTGTCATCACAGAAGAGGCTCTGCCTTCTCAAGGGTTTGCATTCTGGGCCCACTCAGATACCCCAGAGCTGATCTCTCCAGCTCGAGCAGCCTGGTTGGATGGGGTCTCTCTTCCAAGCTACTAGTGCTTTGCGAGTGGTGCGGGACAGCAGTGTGAGGTCACTGGTACAGCGCTGGACTGGGATTCAGGCTCTCCTGAGACCCTGCTTAGCTTCTGTAAGACTGACTTGTTAGCAAGCACAAGCCTGTCCTCTGCATCTCTCTCCTTTGGCCTTCTGCCTCCCCTGTGCTCTTTATCCCCCACCTGCCCTCCTGCTGTTACACAGTCTGTCTTGGTGAGACAGGGCCAGCAGGCCCCCAGCAGAGGCCAAGCTGCTCAGGCTATCTGATCTTGGCATTTTCTCCTTCCAGGCTGTGAACAAAAACCTCTTTTCTTTACAAAGCATCAGTGTCAGGTACTTTGTTATAGCATAAGGAAAAGTAGCACAGTCAAGGATTCTGGGAGGTTGGGCATGAACAGTACTCTGAAACTTTTGCCTTCTACCCCAAGCCCCCAAATGTCCTGAGGGCAGAAATCCTGCTTGGTAAACGAGGTCTATCTTCCTTATTACCTCTGTAATTCTTCTATTTGAGTTTCCTTCCTTCCTACTTTTCCTCTTCTTTCTTCTCATCCTCTTCCTCTTCCCCCCTCCTAGCCCCTCCTGTCCCTCCTCCTCCGCCTCCTCCTCCTCTTCTTCCTCTTCTTCCTCCCCTTCCTCTTCCTATTCCTCTTCTTCTTCTTGTTGCAGTGTAGAGGTTGAAATCTGGGGCCATACACATGCTAGGCAAGCCTACGGTCACAGAGCTACACCAAGTTTCCATTCCTCTAGGGGCTGTTTCTAGCCCAGCCCTTGAATGCAGCAGCAGAGCGCCCTCTGGAGGCTCCTAACTCTGAGCCAGCCACCTGTCTGGTTCCAGCTCCACCAGGGAGTGGCCAGAAGCAGCACTTTCCTCTGTTGTTGCTTACACTCCCTGGGGGACTCCCCAGCTGGGATTAGGTGTGGGGTGAAGGGCAGGGCACACATTCCTCTCCTGGCAGGCCAGGCTCTAGGGCTTGAGCCAACACTGCAGAGGTAGGGTTGCAGCGCAGAGGGAGGAGAGTGTCAAGCCTAACTTGGATTCCATTTCTAAGATCAGCTGGAGGCACAAGAGTCAAGTTCTTGCCCTTCATTTTCTGGTCCCTTGCTTGGTTGGGTTCAAATGGTCAGCTGCCCAAAAATAGGATGAGGGGAGCCTGGACACTTAATTTCAGTTTGGGGTGGAAAGAGAAAGGACCATTTGTGACAGGTAATCCTAAATTGTCTTGGGGGGTAGAACTGACTCTACAAGTGTGATAACCAGGCTGTGGGCTCCCTCTGGGTCCCCTTGAAACACACAGATGCCTTCAGAAGAGTTGAAATGCTCCAGAAAAGACAGAAATCCTTAATCTATTTTATTTCCAGATATTGATAATCAAACCAGGAAGTGGGAGCTGGTGGGTCTGAAGGTTGGGGGAACTGTTCTGTGGCCACTCCTGTTCCTCCCAAACTTGACACCTCTCTCTCTCTCTCTCTCTCTCTCTCTCTCTCTCTCTCTCTCTCTCTCACACACACACACACACACACACAACACACACACACACACACACACACACACACGCACTCTTCAGAGGTAGAGACCGAAGCAAAGCACAGCAGAATGATGGTTAAACACAGATTCTGGAGCCAGAGAGCACAGATTTAAATATTTCCTCTTCCATTTACTATTTGTGTGTCTTTGGGTAAAATAGCTAACTTTCATTTCCCAATTCTAAAGCAATAAAAAATATACAAAGCTTCCATGAGGATTAAATGAGTTAGTATTTGTAAAGCCAGAAGGGTTCCTGTATATGACTGTAGTATCTCTGTGTTAAAAGTAAAAATATGCACTCTACTCTGTGGGGATAATCTGGAAACCATTTTTTTTTTTTGGTCGAATATACTTTAGGAGCCATATTTCCATCCTAGGAGTTAAATTCTCAAGTTATTCATTGTGAAAAAAAATAAGGCTCATTTGAATTGCACAAATATACTTGTGGCTGTTTGGATACACTCACAGTAATGCTTTCTAGAGTAAAACAAAGGAGATGCTAATCTGTCATCTTTTCTGATCTAGGTACAGGTGGTCCTTCTAAGAGCACGAGTTATTTTTGTTTTTTCCATTTATGTATTTGGTACAGGGTCTTACTACTCAGCTGGGACTCAAAGTGATCCTCCTGGGGGTCAGGGAGATGGCTCAGTAGAATAAGTGCTTCCCTGACAAGCGCAAGGGTCTGAGTTCAATCCCTGGTTCCGAAAAAAAAAAAAAAAAATCATTTACCAATCAAAGCGATCCTCCTGTTTTCAGCCTCCCCAGCCCTGGGATTCAGGTGTGCACCAGCATGCCTGGACTTTGCCAGCTCAGCGTGCCCTGGGGGTGGGGCTGGCACAACATGTGGGACCAGGGATGGAACCCTGATCCCTGTACTTGCCAAACAGGTGCTTAGTCCACTCAGCTATCTCGCTGGCCTAAGTGCAAGTTCTTTCTGATTTCTGGGTTCTCGTTTCTTCACAGTACTGGGGATGAACTCCAGGAGCGCTTACCCATTGAGCCGCACCACCAGCCCCAAGTCTATTTTCGATTAAGCTTCATAGAGATTGTATTGCTGTCTCCTGAAGCAGGTCAGTAAAGACAGAAAGAGAGAGCAATCACATTGGGTCTCCCCAACCCCCTCAAACCTTTGGCACCAGGCAAAACTGGAAGAGGTGTAGAGCTGGGCTTGATTTAAAATTGAGTTTCTGTTATCCCATCAGAATGAGGATTTCTAAGACTAGAAAAATGGTAGGCAACTGCTCTCCCACTTCACTATATCCCCAGCCCTTTCTATTTTGAGAAAGGGTCTCACTAAGTGGCCCAGGCTAGCCTTCAACTTTGTAATTTTCCTGCCTTGGGCTCCTTAGGAGCTAAAATTACAGACATGTGTCCCCATGCCTGGTTGGATGGGGTCTTGATATAGAAATCAGGTTTGGTTTTGAAAACTGAAATTATTAAAGCATGTCAATGAGTGAACAAAGGTCTATTTACAAATTTAAGTGACAGATGCTCAGGGCACCAACAGAGTAGATAAAGTCCTGAAGTTTTTGGTTCTCTGCTTCCCCCTTGTGGAATCGCTGTGAATAACAGCTCAAGATTCCCCAAGGCTCCTAGAACAGGCAGTGGAGGTGTGCCAGGTGGTAGAGGTTTACTTATTGCTGATAGGAGGAGGTCTGGAACCACTGCCAGGCCACACAGGCTGGGATTCCCAGGAAAGAAGTGTAGAATTCTTTCAAGTTGTCAATGACATCAAATGCTCTTGTTTTCCCCAGAGTCTTTATTTTTTGTCCAGATACCAACACTTGCTGGTCATGCACCTCTGTGACTGTTTCAGCCACCTGCAGCACTGCTGGGTGCTGCCCAGCTGCACACCCCTGCTGTAACAAGCCTGTGGGGAGTCTCACTCTGGTTCTGTGGCTTTTCACATCACTCAGGCTGTGTGTCTCTATGCTGTGGTCTGAGCACAACCCCACACCACCACATTTGTGCTGCTGCGTCTATGACTGACTGCTGGGCACAGGTCGGAGATGGCCCTTTGGTTTTCATATGGGAAAGAGGAGAACACTTGGACACAAAGAGGGGAAAGGACTGCGTGTCCCTGGGAACACTGTTCTACCTGCAGCCTGGCTCCTCCTTCCCTGGTCAGCACCCCTGGGCACTGCCCAGCTTTACCTCCCGTCCCTCTCACAGAGGGCAGCAGCGGCCCGGGGCTTGGCCCCAGAAGAGGTGGAGCATGGGCTCCTTGGGCTTTCTGCTACCTGACCCCTGGGCCTCTCTTCTCCAGGTGGAGCCAGGGACCCACCCGGGCCGGGCCTGGCCTGACCGCCTGTCCACTGTGCTCATGCCTCCAGACCCTGCCGCAGCCTGCGGTCCAGGGCCAGGAGCTGCCTCAGGAAGCCCCGGTTGGGGATGATGCCTCGGTGGTCCTTGACTTTCTTGATGGCCTCCACGAGGGTGAAGCGGTGGTACAGCATGAGGTAGGCAAGCACCAGCGTGGCGGATCGGCTCACTCCCACGGCACAGTGCACCAGGATCTTGCCTGCGAGGAGACACAGAGATGGCAGGGAGACTGTGGTATGTGGGAGGAGGCTGGTGGGGGTGACACGGACAGGTGGCCAGGAAGATAGGTAAGCAGAGATGAGGGGACACATGATGGAGGTAGAGGAGGGGATTAAGAACCTAGGTATGGGCCAGAGGTGGCGCAGGGGTCGGTCATGTGCTGACCTTGGCATAGGCAAGGCCCTGGCTGGGTAGAGCCAGGACTGGGGGAGAAAAGTTGTGGATTCCTAATAAAGCAGGGGAGCCTTGGCAGAATGGGGTGCACGGGGCTTCGGGGAAGAGACTGATCACTGATGTCACACTGAGCTTTGCACCGGCAGGGACTTGGGCTTTCTGCTACCTGACCCCTAGGCCTCTCTTCTCCAGGTAGAGCCAGGGACCCACCTGGGCTTTGCACCTACAGGAGTAATCCACAGGAAACACTGTGTTGAGCATGGGCTTTCTTTGGCCTTCCTCACTCCCTTGTTCATTTTCTATTTGTTTTTCTGAAATGGCATCTCCAGAGGTGTCCCAGGCTGGGCCGGAAACCCTGGGCTTAAGTGACCCTCCTGATCTAGCCTCCTGAGGAAGCAGGACTCAGGCACGTGCCACTGCCTTGACCCCCTCAGCCTCTGTCTCACCTTCTCCTTGGCCACTGAGTAGTGCATTGTTGTGTACCTATCCAGCCTCCCTCGTGTCAGGGTGGATGGGTTCCAGGGGCCCTCACAGATGCCCAGGTCCCTTCGGTATGATGCTGCTGTCTCTGCGTGGAGCATCGACACATCCTCTCCAACACTTTGTCAGCCTTAGGGTACTTAGGACACCGGACACAACACAAGCGCTATGCAAACAGCTGTACTGCACTGTCTAGGGAATAATGGCAATAAATAGAATGTTTTTGCAAAGGATCAGTATAGATTTCCTTTTCTATATCTTTCCAATCTATGGCTGGATGAATGCATGAATTTAGAACTGAAGAATACAGAGGGCCAACTGTATTTTTTTTTTTCTGACTAAAGTGTTTATTTTTGGTGGAACCAGGGATTGAACTCAGGCCCTTGCGCTTGCCAGGGAAGCACTTATTCTACTGAGCCATCTCCCCAGCCCGACTAAAGTATTTTCAAGCATGCTTAAGGTGAAAATAATTGGAGAGTGCTGACATAATTAAAAAAACCTTTTACCGCCAGCACCCATCATCTCACCATCTAGGTAAGCTACTTAACGCTTCTCACGATGTCCCTCTGGAGTGCTGGGATTACAGGCCTGTGCTACCACACCCGGCATGCTTGTCTGTTTTTTTTTTTTTTTTTTTTTTTTTTGTATCATCTCGAAATAAAAAGGATCAAGAGAATAGGTCCTCTCTCCCTTCTGAACCCCCTCTTCTCCTACCTCCTGGCTGGCTCAGTGCCCGATGGATGAAGTCGGCAGCTGTCTGGAAGTGGATACTCATGTCAAAGGCTGGGGAGTCATGGGCCTCCACGCCCAGGTAGCGGATCCCCAGCCCCTCATAGGCTTCAGGCACGCCCCGCCACCTGCTGTGTGAGGCGTTGAGGACATGGGTGATGCCCAGGCGACGCAGCTCCCGACGGTTGTTGGCCATGTCCCTGTGGAGAGAGGAGGGCGGTGCCGAGGTGCTGTCGCTGCACCCAGAGGGAGGAAGATGGAGGATGACTTGGGGATTTCTGGTTTCTTGTTCTATAGTACTGGGGATTGAACCTGGGACCTTTGCACTGAGCTACGCTCTCATCCTTGTTATTGTTTTACATTTGGAGATTGGGTCTCACTAAGTTTCTAAGTTACTCAGGCTGGACTTGAGCCTGTCATCCTCCTGCCCCAGCCTCAGAGTGGTGGGAGTCCAGTTTGCGCTGACGCACCTGGCTTCTTTTCACATAGACTCTTCTCATAGGAACCATACCGACAAGAACTGAGGCTTTTTTGTCTGGACGAGAGAAGGCTGAAGGGGCAGGGTGAACATGGCTGTGATAAAATGTAGAAGGAGTACTCTGGAGAAGCCAGCTTTCATTAAATTCCTTAAATGTGGAGCCCTAAGGACTGAATTAAGATGAAACGATGAAAGCCACAAGAAACAGATTTCAGTCTCACACACGAGTCCCACTAACAGTGGAAAAGCGCTGAGGAGAGACTGCAGCACCTCTGGAGAGTCTCCTTCTCTGCCGTTCAGGCAGGGACGAGCCCAATGTGGAGGCACCGGGGCTGGGGGTGGGAGTCGGGGATGGCAGCACAGGGTCCTGGACCCGTCCACAGCTAACATCCCTGCCAATGCTGAGAATGGGGCTCAGGAGTAGAGTGCTTGGGTTCTACCCCTAATAACAGCAGCCCAAAAGTAAAACGTTAAAAAGGCATTCAGTGCCTCTGAGAATCTTGAGATTATGTTTCCAATACTTCTTCCCACACCTAACTCCCCTATTCCTTTATACTCCTACTTACATCGTCCATTTTGCCAGTTTTTCTATGGCTCACTCCACCCCATTAGGAGGTCACCTTCACGAGGTCACCCAGCCCCCATCCCTGAGCACCAGCAGACACCTCTCAGACACAGCGGTTGCCCTCAGCACCTGCTCTGTCTACTGCAGCAGACGAGCACCGACCGGGGAGGCCTGGCTCTGCTGCTCACAGCCTGTGTGACCTTGCGCCGCTCACCACTTCTCTGAGCTTCAGCTTCTTCAGCCGTGACTGGATGACAGTAGTACCTACCTTGCCAGGCTGCTGGGGAGCTTCAGAGGAAAAATGCAGGAGGAAATGCATCCTCCTTGCACATGGTAAAGCCTTGGGAGATAAGTAGGATTACGCTTTCCATGAGGCCCTCTCCCCACAGAAGGACCCCAGCTTCAGACTCTGTAGACTATGGGGGGCATGGCCCCCACAGGGGCCCTGCAGGAGCCTGCCTGGTCTTTTCTCTCCCAGTGACTTTTCCCAGAGCCGCACCCCAGTAGCTGAAAGGTCAGAGAAGTCACCCACTGTGTCTGGCTGGGAGGTAGTGCTGGCCCTCAATGCTAAACAGTTGTTGTGTGAATAACAAGGGTTTTCTTCCAAAGTCTGAGTATTTCAATAAACCTATCCAAACTTCCCCAAAGCCTCCAGCCTCTTTCTTCTCTCTGTCTATGTGCCCCTCCCTTCAATGCTCAACCTGGAATCAACACTATAACTCAGTGTCTGTCTGCCACCCTTCTTTTTTCTGTACACACACACAAACACACACACACACACACACACACACACACACAACCACAATCCCAGTCCGGTGGGTACCTACTGGTCTCCAAGGTAGAGGCCTGGCCAGACCTCATCAGCATGGTTACAGGCTGTCTTGCCCGTGTACAGGAGCCGCTCCAGCTCAAAGACGTTGAGGAAGGGATGCTGCACGGGTGGCATCTCCTCCAGACTCCCTCTGGTGCGAACAGGGGACCTCGAGCTGCTCCTGGAGAAGCGGGCCATGAACGTCATGGAGGCCCACAGCCAGTTTCCGGGGCACATTGTAGAACTGGAGGAGCCGGGGCAGCTGCAGGGCGGTCACGGGGAAGATGGGGTTGGGTACCAGGTAGCCGCTGCTGAAAAAAGAAGGGGTGTGAGCCACACTCGAGCTAGTAAGTCCACACAGCAGCGGCACCCCTTCCTGCTCCCTGGGCTGAGAAGGTGCTTGGGGGAGGAGTCCAGCTGGCCCCAGAGGTCCTCCAGGATTGCTCTCTCCTTCAACAGCAGCAGCTCCTCTCCATGTCTATTTGGCTCTGCCACGCAAGGAGGTGGGAGCGTCACATGTCCTTGTTTACGGGAACAGGGAGCTGCCCAGCTGCTGGGATTCGGCTCTGCCAGCCACTCCACCCCCACTACTAACACACACACACTCGGGCACACACACACACTTGTCGTTTGGGTGCCTGTGCACATTGCTGGGACCCTTGCCAGCTGGAATCTGGGTCTCATCTGCTCTGGGCTCTAGGCAAGAGATGTAGGGAGCTGGGCAGGGGACTGGGGTGGCTTCAGATTTGTCCAGGGAGGATGAGCAGGAAGGTCACCACAGCTGGGCCCAGACAAACACCCAGCCAGCCTCCCTCGTGCCAGGAGATGCAGCGCCCTGCACACTCAGTAACCAGCTTGGCATGGGAGCGACTGGGGAGTAGCAATGAAGGAGAAGAATAAGTTTGGGAAAAATACATGCCAAATGCAAACTAATGGAAGAAGGTCCAGCCTATGAGCACAACAGGTAAACTGTGTTCTTTTGATCAATGTTCACTTCTCAGATGACAATTGTGAGCCAAAGCAGCCCTGGAATGTAGGGTCTGTGTGTGACAGGGAAAGGCTGGGGCTTGGCCTGGGCTGGGGGAAAGGAGGGCCGGGCAGGCTCCTGGCATGGAGAGGCAGAGCTGCCTCCCTTGTTGCTATGGGAATCAACAGGCCTGTGTGAATGCGGGCTAGGCGCCAGCCCCAGGGACTTAGTAGACAGCAGTCGGCCTTTCCCAAAGTGTCACCGTGCTTTGGGGTTCACAGCTCGGAAGCCCTCTCCTCCTCCTGCCCCCAGGGACCTATGGTCCTGCCTGCTCTCCCCTTTCCTTCCCTGCCTCCCACCCACCCTTGGGCAGTGGCCAGCCTGAGAGGCCATCTTGGTCACTGGGCCCCGTCCTGCCCTCTCAGCCAAGGCCAGCTCTTCCTCGGGGGTGAGGGGACCAATTCTCGGGGCGGCAGAAGCAAGGGTTCAGGATCAGCGCAGGTGGGGAAAGATCTGACGTGCAGGTGTTGAAGGAGAGAGACTGGCGAGGGCTGGGACAGAAGCAGCACAGAAATACAGCCTTACAGTCGCCACCATCTCCCTTCCTTCGCAGGCCCAGGACCCCAGGTCCCACTCCTAACCAACTCTCCCCCCAATAAGAGATCCCACTGCGTGCAAAGGTGGCGAGGGCAGGCGGGGGCCGGCGCGAAGCCGCTCTCGGGGACTTCGGTCTGGGGTGGGCTGGGAGCCCCGGCTTCGTCCCGCTGGCCCCAGCCCCTGGGCGCCCCTCCCTGCCTCCGCCCTGCCTTCCCGTCGCGGTCGCGGTCGGTCTGCGACAGGCGCGCGGGCCGCCCCAGCTCTCGCCTCCTGGCGGAGGGAGCGCGGACAGTGCCCCTACCTGGGCGGCTCAGGCGTCCCGGAGGCCGAGGGCGGGAGCGCAGAGCCCCGCGGCCATGCTCCCGCCGCGGCTGCGGCTTCCAGCTATTTTTAAGTCACGACACCCACTCGAAGCAGTGTTCACAGCAGCGCGCTCGCTCGCTCGCTCGCTCGCTCGCGACACACAGGGGCGCGGGCCGCAGGGAGCTGGGTCGGAGCCGCCGCGCAGCGTGGGCGCCGGCGCCTCACAGCTCGCCAGACCAGAGCCGGCCCGCGCCGCCTGGCGGGCCAATGGCAGAGCCGCTGTAGTGCCGCCTCCGGTCTCCAGGCGACACACACACACACACACACACACACACACACACACACACGCACGCACGCGCGCACACACGTACGCACGCGTACATGCACACAGGCACATGCGCGCGCACACACGCCTCCACACCTACACACAGGCACACATGCACGCGCGCATACACTCATGCACACCCGTGGGCACACGTACACACACACACACAAACACGCACACAGATGCGTGCACTAACACACTGCACAGGCACGCATGAACACACTACCTCGCTCCTCCCAGATAAGACTAATTGACGTTTTCTTAGCAGGCGCCACGTGTCGTGGGCTTCATGCATTGACATTTTATGCTTGGCACAAGGCTAGGAGATAGGTATTGTTGCCTTTATATTTTAGGGAGCGGGAGACGGAGGCACAGAGAAGCCCAGTATTTGCTCTGAATGCCCAGGGAGGTACCGGACCAGCTGAGCTCCATCAGCCCTATGCTTTCCCCCACTTGAGGGGAGCGCTGGGGCTCTTCCTCTACCCAGCTCAGCGCATGACCAACTCCACTTTCCCTGGGCTCCTTAGGAATTAAGCGCCACAGCATTTTCATAGTAGCGTTTTCTGCACTCTACAGCCTCAAGACTCTAAAGACCTCGAGGGCAAAGGCTGAGTTACCTTCCCAGGGCCCAGAACACTGACAAAAGGGGACGCTGAGTGTGGTTATGAAGATGGCATCAACTACAGCGGAAGTTAGGAATGGAAATCCACAGTCCTAGAAGATAGACCAGACTTTATGTCCAGTCAAAGGCAGTTCTAGACAGCGACGTAAGTTCCAACTCAGTTCTGTGGGAAAGAGGTGATACCTCCTTAGGGTACCATCTAGGAATCATTTGCCTCTTCTCTTTTTCTTCTCTAAAGAGGAAACTTAATTCTGTTCAGTTTTCCTTATGTCTTTTTGGTATGGCATTTTACAGAAAGAGACAAAGTCCTCATCATTAGCAAAACAGAACTGATCTAGGAAACTTGAGATTTTAATTTCTACCATCTAGGAAAGCCTCATTAAAAAGTTGTTGCCAGTTAAAGTGTGAAAGAGTGCTCAACCTCATTTTAAGTGAGGATTTTCAGAGTTGGGAAATCAAGAGTGTGGTGTAGTTTGATTTAAATCTTCAGCAGGATTTCTCTTCAGCTCTACATTAACTTTTCTCAAAAAAATTGAGAAAATAAGGTTTAAAACGTATCACAGAGAAGTTGCTATCTGTTGGTAGATAACTATAGAAGTTCTTCCTGAACCAACATCTCTATGAAGACCATTTTTACAGGCCAACTGATGGCCCAAGTAGTTTCATATTTTTCTTTGTAAGAGGTTTATGATGTTTCCAGGTGGCACCAAACTAAATAAAGGATGGAGAAGAAGAGGGAGGAAAACATTAGTAGGAGGAAGATGATGGAAAAGGCAGACCAGGAAAAGGAAGAAAGAAAAGAGAAATAGTATGTAAGGGTAAAATACTATCTCTTGATTTCTTGCCTTCACATGTAGCAGCTCATTTGATCCATGTCTTTTTTTTTTTTTGGTGGAACCAGGGATCAAACTCAGGTCCTTGAGCTTACCAGGGAAGTGCTTATTCCACTGAGCCATCTCCCCAGCCCCTGATCCATGTCTTAAGTGGATGGTAACGTCACTGCATGCCTGAGGAGCAAGGCATTTAGCCATGTTAGTTAATGTACCAGCTTCTAGTCTATGGCAGGATACAGCTGCAAATCCAGGGATATTTTGTTAGAAAACTAATGTTTGAAAATGAGGTTGGGGACCAAGGATGTGGCTCAGCAGTAGAGTAACTGCTGAATGTGCAAGAGTCCCTACATCTGGTGTCTGGCACTGCAAACATTCCCGAGAATGACTATTAAGATAACGCTTGCCTTACTTTTCTCTCATTGATGAGACACAATACCCAACACCCAAAATTAAAGAGGGAAATGTTTTTTTAGCTCATGGTTTGTGGGGGTTTCAGCCTGTAATTGGCTGGCTCCAAGGCAGGGGACATGGTGAGGGAGAAACTGTTTAAGGAGGCTGTTATGGTTTGTGTCTAGTTGTCCCCCCAAATCCTCATGCAGTCATGGGGTGAGGACTTCTAGAGTTTGTATTAACTCGTGATCCACTGGGATTATGTGTGATCCAAGGCTGGGATTATGGGTTTTAGTACTGCTGGGATTACCCATAGGTGGGTAAATACTGGGAAGTACCCATAGGTGTGAGTACTTCCCCTACCCTGGGGCAGGTAATTTGCATTACAATGTAAGGTGGGAAGAGAAGCTAGCTGCTTGAGCTGCTGCTACCCCTCCCTTGTGCTCTTGCTCTTTGCCGCCATGAAAAGTTGCTTTCTGCTCTGTGCTGCTCTGCGTTGGACCCAGCTGAGTATGAACTGAAACCTCCAGTAACTGTGAGCTAAATAAACCTTTCTTCCTTCATTTTGAGTGTCGGGTATTTGTCCCAGCAACGAGAGAAGAGTAACTAAGACAGAGGCAGAAGGCAGCAAGAGCAACAAGAGCCACGAAGAAAAGAGCGAGCCCTTTATAAGCAGGTTATCCCCCTCCCCCTTAGGGTAGGTGTAACATTCACACCATCTCCATGCCCTCCTCCTGCCTAGGATAAGGATATTTACAAAATGAGGACCTGTTGCTGCTCAGTGGCTCAGCTACACTTCTAAAATTCTTAAGTGGACACAATGTATCAACTATTAGAATACTCCTCAAGACTAAACTGGAGAACAACTGTCTCTGCACAGCCTTGCCACATCCACTCATTCATTTATCTCCTTCTTCATGCTCAAAGAAGCCTTTATCAAAGGACCTATCAGCTACATTTACTTCACTTATTTATATAATTGTTGGGAGTGAAGCTGCCTGTACCTCGGGTGTCTAGGACAAGGTCACAGTTTCTCATGAGTTTGGCAGGGCCTCATGAAAAGTGTATGCGGTCAGGGAGCTGATGTGCTAAGTACCTTGGCCTCCCCTGAGATAATATAGACAACTCCTGTCTTATTCCCCATGTAACCACCAAGGCATCTTGTTTTGTTGAAGAGTAGATTTTCTTCCTGCTCCAGATCCTACCCTCCCCTTAAAATTCTCTATAAATAACCTCTTATGCTGATTGTGTAAGCTCACCGCAGTTGTTGGGTGGTTCTTTCTGCCATCCAGAGAGGGGGCTCCGCCTGACATTGGCCTTCTGACTCTTCATTTTTTCATTATTCACCTCCCCACTCCAGAATTTCAGAGCTGCACTGGCTGTGGCAACACTTACTTTAATCTTTGTTTCTCATAGTCTAGAGCATGAATGGTTGTACAACACTGGGATGGACATAACAGAAATGGAAAAATGAAGCTATTGAAAGATAGGGATGCGGGTTGAGGGGTATAGGTCAGAGGCAGATCACTTATCTAGTTTATGCAAGGACCTGGCTTCCATCCCTAGTGCAGAAAATAAATAACACTTGAAAAGTGGAATAGATTACAAAATAGTTTTTGAAATAAATATTCCTTTCCCACAACTAAATGGAGAAGGAGAAGTTTAATAAGAGTAGGACATTAGAGGAAAAAAAAGACCAATAAATATATAGTGAATGAGAATTCTAACTGCTGCCACTGGACTGTGGAGTGGCTTTTCAATTCATTTATTAACTTAACCACCCAAGTAGACATTGTAAATTCAATTCTATAGTTAAGAAAATGAGTTTATTTATTTATTTTTTTTAAGGTTACTTTTTTTTTTCTTTTTGGCAGAACCGGGGATTGAATGCAGGCTCTTGCACTTGCCAGGGAAGCCCTTATTCTACTGAGCCATCTCCCCAGCCCTGAGAACACAGGATAAAAGGCCAAAGAGCCAACAAGTGAAATTTGAACCCAGATTTAGACTGAGGACCATGTTAAATCAACACCTGCCCCTCAAACCACTGAAGTATATTTGAAGAAAGAATTGGTGGGTGAGGTATTTACACAAACTGTGGATTGCTCACAAGAATGGAAAGCCTTCCCGGCAGTTCTCATCTCAGCCTAGGGTCTCTGTTCCCTAGAGACCCCAGGAGTGCGTGGACCCAGGGCTGGATGTGCACATGTGTACCCAGGTCTGGAGGGAGAGGGGGCCTTCCGGTCGCAAGAAGAACTTGCTATCCAGCCAAACCCTCATTATGTGACCCTTTCCCCAGGTATCTAAGGATGAAACTCCTCACCATAGTGAAGATAAATTTCCCCAAGGATCACACATCACTGAGGAGGAGGCTTTCCCATGAGCACAGGTTTGTGACAGACTAGCGCTCCTCTAGGAATAAGCCAGGCTTGGTATTTGTGAATAAGTCCAGAGGCCAAGAGAATATGCATTAAATCTCAGCATTATAAAAATAGAGGAAGAAAAGAAGGCTATAATATAAATTTTGGGGTACACTGAAAGCAAATATGACAGCTATTTGACAGGTGAGCTGTAGCCAGTGTAAGATTATGGATGATGAGTATGCGTGTGTTCTGTAAACTGAAATCCCCAAATGGGTGGACATTTTGCAATTTTTGTACAAACAGTAGAAATTAATTTTAAACATCAGTTTTGTGAAACTGAGATTTCCTTAGTGGCTTTACGTGTGGCCAATTTAGGTAATCAAACCATAAATACTACTGAAAAATATGTAAGGAAAGTATAACGCCCATTTTGGGAATTTTGGAGAATGTCTATCTTTGCCTTTCATCTATTTGGGTTTTATATTATTCAAAATCCTTTTTTTAAAAACTACATACTTTAATAAGAAATAAATTCAATAAAGAATGATAATACTGAGAACCAAGGCATTCAGAGATTTCAAAAGTCATGCTTTTTTTTCAGTTGATCCAAAAATTGTCAACTAAGTTTTCAAAAGTTTGTTCAGAGCCAACATTACTTACAAATGTCACACATTTATTATTCATACATTTACTTTCTTCCCCATAAAAGACCTTTGATAATTCAGACAG